ACGAAATCCCAGGGACCGGATTTGACGGTAACGATCGTTTCCGGTACCGTGTGGTTACCATGACCAAGAAGTCTCGGGAAACGAAAAATCATTACCCATGTGTGGCCTAGCCTAGCGTAGTTAGGCCTAGCCAGAATTAGCAAACACTTACCACAATCATAATTTCAGTGGAAAAGTGTTAGCCCATAATCTGAAAATCATAGGTCTATCACAAAAATCTTAGATATAGGCCTAGGCCTAATCGTACCGCGAGAAAATGACTTCTGCGCTAGAACGAAAAAAAATAACAACAAAAGATCACGCCCTCTCTATTGCCTGCTTTACTAGTACTAGTCTTTTTTTAACGTCTTCAATGGAATTACCCATGAATGCGACGACAGTATGAAACACCATAATAATAATAATAATAATAATAATATACTTTATTTAAACACGGAGACACTTGAATCACCCATGGGTGTTTTTCATCAAGGCCGTGCAAGGCCATACATAATTAGAAAAGAAAAAATTATTGAAAACAAAATGAATTAAAGAAAACAACAAAAACATAATATCTTAACTACCAGTGAAACGATCCCCCGCCGGACACCAACCCGGTATTTCTAAGTTTCGGGGATGACAATGGATAAAATCAAAAATTTTATGAAGACTTCGCTTGAAAATATGGAGATTGGAAGAATGTTGAAAACTGGAAACTTGACGTTACCAAAATGGCTTCTCCAAAGAAGAGGAAGACTACAACCTCAGGAGGAGGGAATGTTTCACTAAAAACGTTCAAGAAATGGTACTTTAGTGGTGATTTTAAAGTAGTGGAGACGAATGAAAACATTTTAAGTGAGAAGACGCAAAATTTGCAGTAATTATTACAAGTGAGTTTTGTTTATGATTATAAATTAGACTGTCGATCTTGATTTTGATGAAATCGCCGGCGACAGTAGCCCTGACCTCACCTCCGACGCGGGTTGGTAATAATAAACAGTAAACATTTTTATCCTTGTTGACAATGTTTAATTAATTAATTTATTTATTTATTTATTTGTTACTTATTAATGTGCGTTAAATTTAATTTTATTGTTGTTCCAATGTTTTGTAAAGGTAAATTTTGTCTAAGCCTACAAAATTTGTTTTTACCACACATCACTATTGTTGAAAGAATTAATAAACAAACACTTGTATGGCAATAATGTATGTTTTCTTTTATTTATTTGTTTGATTCCTGAAATAAAAATACAATAAACATAAATACTCTGTAATAGAATCATTGCAGTGATGGGGTTGTAAAACATTGAATGCACTGAAAGCATTGAATTTTCACAGTTAATTGTCTCAAATAAAAATACATTAACATTATTATTAAAGTAGTTAACTTTGTATTTAGGCCTAATTGCAATGCTCTTTGTTCTAATTTGCTATAAAGCAATTATTTATATTTAGTAGTAGTATCAAAATGGATTCCCGTGACTTTTCCATGAACACTGAAAACAGTTTCCGATAGTTTCCCATGATCACAGGGCATGGAAACCAAAAGTAGTTACCCATGATATTTAAAATCCTGTGGCCTGAAATCCTGTAGACTAAACCCAGTACCGTTACGATTTCTAATTGGACGGGAAATCTACTTGTGTTGCATATTGGGCATTTAAAAATTTGCTATCCTGTATAGAATCTCATTGTTAGATGTTCAACTGTTGTAATATTGACTACTAAAAATAATAAAAGATTATATAGTATTTTATGATACATTTTGCAAGTTTAGGGATATAGTTAAAGGGGAAGAGAGAGGGGGGTGGAGTCACCCAGCCTTAAAGTTTTCCAATCAGTATAAACCTAATTTCATGGCTCTCCACCCACACTTAATTAACCCACACTTCCATCCTTAAAATCCACTCTTATTATTTAGAGTATGAATGGGCATAAAAATTAGTTGGAAGGCCAAAGTGAATTTTCAATTTAACACAGAAGGCCAAAACCTAGCTTTGATGTTTCAAGTGTGCTTCCACAAACCTTCATGCACTGCTTTTATGCCATTTGAGCCTCAGTTTTAATATCATTTTTACAGGTGATTAGTGTCGGACCGTAAAAAACGAGAGGTTTTCTATCACTTTGCCCACCTGTGATTTAGAGTTTACCAATGCTATCACCAACCCACCCACCCTTTTTCTTTGGAATGTTAAAATATCTATCACTCACCCTTAGTTTTCTTACAGTGACAACCTTGGTTTAGTTTGGAAATAATTGTTAAGTTTACAAGGTATCAGACAGTATTAAAGTATATTAACTAAACAGTACTGTATGTTAACATGTTTAAAGTCTCAGAAACATGTGCCATTTTTTAACTTAACATTTAGACATTTTATTAATAATACAGTTTTTAAAAACTTTATCTGAATATTATATCATACGTTTGAATCTTCCAAAACCTATGTTATTGTTAACTGAAGTTTCAGAAACATGTTATCCCAAAAATTACATCTTTGGTTTAACAAATGTGATTTCTTTGGAATTTGTAAAGTAACCCTAACTAAAGGTTATCTGTACAATCAAAAGTACTATATAATATGTTTAATAATAATAATAATTTATTTTTGTTTAGTACCAATAAACAATCAGTTATTTTTACAGCCCTTAACAGAATGATTGGATACAGTAG